ATCCCAGAATAAATTACTTAGCTTATGAGTCTTTTCCTGATCTCCCTATTCCAGCTTCATGTCCCCCTAATCACTAGTAACATTCCCCTCCCACCACATAAACAGATCTCCTTACTGGACTCCAACTATACCAGGCCCCTTCATAGCCCCATCTCTTGGAGGATACCATTCCTCCTTTTTCTGCTGTTACCTCTCATCCACCTCAACAGCCCTTTAGAATTTAGCTCAAAAATCACTTCTTCCAAGAACCTGTTTCCTGGGACTGAAGGGAAAAAACCCAGTGGTTAAGAGCACTGGCTGCTCTTTCAGAGGACCCTGATTCAATTCCCAACACCCACACCGTGACTCAAAACTGCCTATAACTCCAGTTCTAGAGGATCTTATGCTCTCTCTGATCTCCATGTGCAATGCATGCAAATCATGCACAGACACACCTGCAGGCAAAATATCCAAAGTCATAAAATAAGTCTTTAAAAAAAAAGGCTTTGCACCTGCACCAAGAAAACACTGGTGTGAGAGAACATCTTGTTCATCTTTATATCCCTAGAGCCTAGCACCTAATTGATAACCAGAGATAGAAGGGCGGAGGGAAGGAGCCAGGACCTGAGAGCCAGCTGGGCTCTGGATCAGGAGGAAGCCTTCGGGAGAATAGCTGAACACTCCAAGTCAAGCTTCCCTTGGGAGAGGTTGGTCAGCAAAGTGCCCATGACTATACTCAGTATGGAAAACACACTCGAATTTCCACCATAATCACTTGGCAAAGGGCCAATGCTAAATCAGTTCTTATACATTCAGTAAGTCCACCAGACAGTGTCAATTAAATCTGACAGGTCTGAATGGCTTTGGGCCACAGGGCTGTTTCACTGGTTACTCATACCTTTAACCCCAGCATTAGGGAGGCAGAGGTACCGTTATTCAACTTGTGGGGGCTGTGTGTGTGGGGGGGGGGGTGAGCAAAACTGTGCCCAAGTCATGTCTGGCCACTCACTTAATAAGCCAATTAAAAGTGGAAAGCCAAAAGGAGACTTAATATGGCCATGTTGGGCAGAGGGACAAAGAGATCCAGCAAATCCCTCAAGTCAGTCTTCAGGGTCCTGAAGTAACAACAAAGTTTAAATAGAGGACTAAGGATGTATGAGTACATCTAAGTAGTACCAGTCTACTGGTACTACCACTGACTGATCATTATATGGGTTCAATCTCATTCCATAATGCGGTTTGCAAGTTGTTAGAACTGTGTGGAATCTCTTTCCGGAAGACAAATCCCTCCTCTGGATGGTGCCCTTTCCTTCTCCCAGCCTGAGGTTCCAGGAAAATACCTATTTCTTTGGAGCCCATTGTTTCAATAGTCTGATAGTCAGAGTAAAGAGACAAGGGTGTCTGTTTAGAGTATCTTCGTCTCTGTGAGTTCCAGGCCAGCCTAGTCTACAGTGAGACCCTGTCAGAAAACAAGTTAATACTGCCTGTTTCTACCTGCAATGCAGCCAGGCACTAGAACCCTGGAAGTCATACTAGACCAGGTGAACCCGGAAGGGCGAGGACGCGCCGAGCATCCTGGGAATTGTAGTTTTCGCTGCAGGGGCTTCTGCGCAGGCGCACACTAACAGGCATTTCCGGGCCTTGGTACCACCTCTCTAAAAAGACAGTCTGCAGGACTTTCCACGGGAACCATGGCTACCTACAGCCTGGCGAACGAGCGGCTGCGCGCCCTAGAGGACATCGAACGCGAAATTGGCGCCATCCTCCAGAACGCAGGTTTGGGAAGGGAGGAGCGGACCGGGCTGCGAGGCCAGCCGGGATTCCGCGCGTAATGTGGGCGGGACCTGAGTGCGAGCCTCTGGGCGGATCTACGTCTCCAGCTCTGTCTAACTCCTCCCCGCCCTGGCAGGAACGGCCATCCTGGAACTGTCCAAGGAAAAAACCAACGAGCGGCTTCTAGACCGGCAGGCGGCAGCCTTCACCACTTCTGTGCAGCACGTGGAGGCGGAGCTGTCGGCTCAGATCAGATACCTAACCCAGGTGGGTGTGTCTAGAAGGTGCTGGGCGGGGACCCCAGCTCTACTGCAACCCTAGCCTTAGGGATTCCCTGAGCTTTAGCTGGATCTTGCTTCTTATGCATTTTCATTACTGGAGAGGTTTAGTCCTCTAAAACCTAGGGATTAAAATTACCTAGGGTGTCTAAACAATACCTAGCCAGACCAGGTGGCATAGGCCTGTAATGTGAGCCACTCAAGATGCTGACTTCCGAGGATCACAAGTTCAAAACCTGTATGGGCCGATTTAGACCCAGTAGGTTTAAAAAAAAAAAAAAAAAAAAAAGAGGGCGGGGCCCCGTGTTAGAGCTCTTGCTTTACCATACAGGAGGCCTAGTACTGAACAAAAAATAAAATTGAAGCCACTGAACTTTGTTCCCAGAAACATGGCCTGATGTCGTGTGTGAGGCCTCTTATGCTTGGGGACCAAGTAAGAGACAGCACTAGATGGCTTCCAAAATCCTTACTCTTAGCTACAGTATTTACTAACATTTGTTATGTGCTGGGCACTCTGCAGTGTCTTAGTCTCTTAACTCTAGGAAGTATCAGTGCAGTCTGCATTTCACAGATGCGGTTCACATGGGTTGAGTCGATTGACTTAGATCACTGGGCTACCTCTCAGCTAAAGTGGATCAAACTCAGGAAAGAAATGAGACCCGAGACCTGATGTCTGGTTGTGGGAGGGGCAGTGCTCCACTGATAGATCTAACTGTCCTGTAGGTGGCCACAGGACAGCCCCATGAGGGTTCCAGCTACTCTTCCAGGAAGGATTGTCAAATGGCGCTAAAGCGAGTAGACTATGCCCGCCTTAAGATCAGTGATGTGGCACGGACCTGTGAACAAATGCTGGAGAACTAAGTCAAGATGATACAGAGTATGACCTGCACCTTGGGGCAGAACCCACAGACCGGTAGGATGGGAGCAGAGTGGTACATGCATGCCCTACTGGTCAGGGCAGACAAGGTCCACGGGCCGAAAGTAGAACTGGAGACCCTGAAGCCCAAGTGTGCACTCAGATCTGTTCTGGCTCCTCCCGCAAGATGGTCCTGCTTTCCACTATGCAAGGTCAGACAGGAGTTGGAGAGACAACTGTCCAACCCACTTCCTCATGCACACCCTGCCCTAAGGTTCCAGAAGACTTGGCCCAATAAAAATCTATTTTTATTTTATTATAAGTATGGTTATCTTCCTTACATGTATGTCTGTATACCACATATATGCAGTGCCTGTAGAAGCCAGAAGAGGGAGTTGGATCCCCCTTAGAAATGGAGTCACAGAAGGGAGTTAGCCACCATGTGGGTGCTGGGAATTGAACCTGGACCCTCTAGAAGAGTGGTCAGTACTCTTAACCTCTGAGCCATCTCTCTAGTCCCTCCCCCATAAAAATATTCTCATAAGCAGGCATGGTGGCTCACACCTGTAATCCCAATACTTGGGAAGGGGAGGTGGGATCATTGCTACAGTTTGAGACCAACTGGGGCTAAGTACTTAGCAGGACCCTTCCTTAAAAAGAAGTTGTGGAGCCTGATGGCGGCTTTATCCTAGCACTCAGGAGGCAGAGGCAGGCAGATCTCTGTGAGTTCAAGGCCAGCCTGGTTTACAGAGCAAGTTCCATGACAGACAGAGCTACACAGAGAAACTCTCTCAAAAAACAAAAACAAAAACAAAAAAAAACAAACAACAAATAAATAAATGAATAAAAATAGAGAAGCTCTTTGGAAGAAAAAAAAAGGAACTATTTTAATAATAAAAGCTGTAACTTTTTTTTTAAATAAAGATCCCACTCTCTCTGGGTGTGTATGAGTGATCCAGGAGATTGAGGAAGTGAATCCAGCCTGCATAGAATCAGAGCAGCAATCAGAACAACAGCTGCTAATAAGGGAGAGAAGCCCAGGCTTTCAATGTGGGGCTGGAGAACAGCTGATGTGGTGCAAAGGGAAATTGTGGCCTGGGGACACCATCAGCACTTCTAAGGGGACAAAGACTTGAGCCAAATCTGCAGAAGTCAATCATTCTTTAAAAAAAAAAAAGTTAGATTTATGTGTCTGAATAATGGTTTGCTTTTGTATGTATATGTACATACCTGGGGATGGAAGATAAAGCCCTGTTGGCCAATAGGAAAGCAAAATAGGCGGGACTAGGAGACAGGGAGGATCCTGGGAGATGCAGTAGGGAGAGTCAAGATGTAGGATGTGAGAGAAGAAGGTCCGGACCCTCTCTCCGGTAAGATAAGACCACGTAGAAATACTTAGATTGATAGAATTGGGTTAATATTTAAGAAAGAGATAGCCAATAAGAAACACTAGTAACAGGCCAACAGCTTTATATCTAATACAGCATCTCTGTGTGTTATTTGAGGCTGATGTGGCTGTGGGACCAGCCTGGTGGGAAAACTGCTCATAACAGCCTGGTGCCTGTGGAAGTCAGGGGAGGGTTATCAAATCCCCAGCTACTGGAGTTACATATGGTGGTATCCAGCACATGAGTCCTCTGCAAAGAACAATTGCTCTGAACTGCCAGGTCATCCCTCCAGCCCTCAGCCTAACTCTGAAAGCAATTTTTAGTATTATAGGTAAAAACATAGAATTTGTTCAGTTTCTTGTTATACAATGTATGAAACAGACATTTTTAAAAATTAATTTATTTGTAGTGAGAGGGCTCTAGAACTTTACATATGTGAGGCAGGTACTCTATCAAGGGACCGCACTTCTAGACCACACAATTTAGAGTATTACATTTTATTAGCAGCAGGGGAGAGGCCTACTCGTATATAATTAGTCACTAAAAATAGTACACACCTTAAATCCCAGCACTTGGGAGGCAGAGGCAGGTGGATCTCTGTGAGTTTGAGGCCAGCCCGGTCTAGAGTGAGTTCTAGGACAGTCAGCACTGTTACACAGAGAAACCCTATCTCAAAAAAAACCAAACCATCTCCTTCTCTCCCGCCGAAAAACAAAAGAATGTTCCTCAAGGGCCAAGTGCAGTCCTTTAATCCCAACACTGTAAAGGCAGGCAGATATTTCTGAGTTTTATGACAGCCAGGGCTGAATAGTGAAATCCTGTAAAAAAAAAAAAATGTTTGCAAGTATGTAATCCCAGCACTATGGAAGTGGAGACAGGAGACTCAGTAGTCATCCTCAGATACAAAAGAATTTGAGGCAACATTATTTACATAGGAAAATTAGGGCTGACACAGGGAACGTCTGTGATCCCAGAACCTAGAGGAAGAGGCAGAGAATTGGTAACTCTAAACTGTCCTGGATTATGAGATGAGTACTTTGTATGATCGAAGGGACAGTTTATTGATGGAGCACAGTCTACTGCCATCTCCCAAGCCTTCTCACAAGCTCCCATTATTGCTTCAGGCCCTGGAGTCTTGGTTTACAGGTGCGTAATGGAGCTGTAGATCTGGAAAGGATAAAGACATTTTCAGATGAACTCTGTGATGAATGAAGGAGAACTGAGGCAGGACAAGAATTGACTTGGGGAACCAGACTCGCAGACATTCATTAATCCTTAAGACCTCGGATAGTCTGGCTGACTCTTCCCTCACGTCCCATGGTGCTGACTGCCTGCCCTACTCTCCCTATGCCTCTGTTAGCAGTACCAGGGCGGGACCCTGGCCAGGACTGCTCTGGGTCCCCGAAGGCGAGGTTTAGGAGTCTGGCTTACCTGCAGAGCTCTGCTGTCTCCCTCTCCTCCTGTTGCACAGCATATAGACTATGGCTGCTGTGAGAAGGAAAACAATGACCAAGAGGGACAGCACTGGTACCAAGGCTGATGTGTCAGCTGAAGCTTCTGGTTTTTCTTTTTGTTGTTTGTCCTCTTGCTGATTTTTATTTGCCTCAGCCTCAGGTCTAGCTTCTGGATCGTAGCCTGACGTGACAGCAGTGGTTTTGCAGCCTGACGTGACAGCAGTGGTTTCACTGTGGTGGGGGAGCTTTTCGTTCAAGGACAGTGCCCCAGATGGAAAAGTGGACTGCTGGGTACTCCGAATCTGTGCAGGGGTGCTTGTGTCTGCAGGCGTCCCCTCTGTGGCCTTGGGGATCTGGGTGCTAGCACGAGGCGAATGCTCCTGGTGGTGGAGACTCTTCCCATGGCCATTTCCACACTCTGGAGAGAAAACAAAGGGTCAGGGTTACTGCAACAGCTGGAGAAGTATTTTCCTCACCTGTCTTCAGGGCAAGGCCAATTCACACACGCACGCATGCACGCACACACACACACCCACACCCCACTGCCAATAAGAAAAATAAGCAGATTAATGGGAAAAGCAGAACAAGTTGAGTCAAAGTCTGATGGGAACATATTCTATTGTGCTTAGACTGAATGAGGAATGGACAGTGTGCAGAAGTAGGATTGGACAGGAAGGGTTCTGGTTAGTGGTAATGAACAAGGGGTGGGGTAGGGTGTACAAAACCCTGGATTAAATCTCCAGTCCCTACCCCCACTCCAGGGTAATAGGGATGGGACCAGTAAGGCCTTGCCAGATTCTTTTTGGCCTCAGTCCTGGCTAGGACTCCTGTAGCATGAAAGTTATGCCTCAGTTCCAGGTGACATAAGTCATAGAATTCCTTTGTGGCCAGCTGGCACAGAAAATGGTGGAGGAAAGTCAGGGTGATTTGCTTTGTTGGATCTCTGTCAACTGCTAAAATCCCCTATTTGAGTGTCATGCTCTGAGCCCAACAGAGGGAGGGGATGTGGAGCATCCAGGGGACAATTGAAGAGCAGTCAGTGTATACAGCCCAGGTGAGGTCCTGAATTCGTTTCCAGTACTGAACAAAAAGAGATTTGGGCAGGGCAGCTGAAGGCCATGGGAGGAAGACAGTGGCAGAGGAACAGACAGGGACAAAGAACTTCACAAACCATGAGACACAGTCACGGGGCAAGCAGGTGTGCTACACTGCATTGGACCCTAGAGTACTTTACCCCTCATCTATAGCTGTTCTGGGACTCATGTCATGGTAACAAGGCCCAGGGTATCTGGGAGAGTTGAAGGAAATAATCTAGGCCTCTAGCCTGAAAGGCAGTGTGAGTACCATTGATACCAGGTAGACTATTGAAGAACATTTCATATTTTAAGAGTTGTATCTTTCTTTTGTTTGTTTGTTTGTTTGTTGGAGACAAGGTTTCTCTGTGTATCCCTGGCTGTCCAGGAACTTGTTCTGTAGATCAGGCTGGCCTCAAACTCACAGAGATCCATCTGGGCTTAAAGGTATATGCTACCATACAAGAAACATACAAGCTTTTAAGTAATCTGTTTGAAAACTGGCTTATGCATACTTAAGATCTATTCATTTAATTGAGTTTTTTTCTTTTAATCTTGGAAGAACAAAAGAACAATAAAATATTGAACTCAGAGTTGGGCCTTTAGCCCCAGTCCTCAGGGAAGCAGAAGCAGGCAGATGTCTATGAGTTCAAGGCCAGCCTGGTCTACAGAGCAAGTTCCAGGATAGCTAAGGCTACATGGAGAAACCCTGTCTTAAACAAACAAAACAAAACAAAAACTGAACTCAGTAAAATACATGCTGAAAATGTTTGGGGATTAAATACAATAATATCTGCAATATATTTTGAAAAACATTTTTAAAAATAAAATGAGTTTAAATGGAGAGTGGTGGTTCATGCATGTAATCCCAGCTCTTGTGAGGATTGCTTCCAGGCATTGGTGATGGATAGATAACAGAACCAGTTTGCAATAATGCAGATGTAGTAAAATGCTATAGAACCAATATTGTAAATATTACTGATTGCATATTTGCTTTATTATCTAAATAGATAAATATAAAACTGCAAATCAAATATTATAGAATGCAGTTGATGTTCATAGAGGCTGTTCAATGTATAATTCTTTCAACGTTTTGTTTTATTTTGCTTTGTTTTTGAGACAAGGTCTCTCTATATATATGGCCCTAGCTATCCTGAAAATCACTATGTAGACCAGACTGGCCTTAGATTCACAGAGATCTACATGCCTCTGCCTCCCAAAATGTTGGGGTTAAAGGTGTGCACTACCACAGCCACATAAGTTCTTTCAACTTTAATGTTTACTTTCATCATTAAATATTGAAAAATGAAAATAGTACCTTCAAGTGATTTCAATTAAAATACAATAGTGGGAGTCAAGATGTAGGATGTGAGAGAAGAGGTCCGGACCCTTTCTCCGAAAATGAAAAGCTGTGGATTCCTTCCAAACTAACATGGTTTGATCAAGCAAGACCCCCTACAACAGTGTCCCAGGTGATCCAACATTCAAAACAGCTGGGACAAGGCAGTCCTGCAGACTACAGCCAAGATTTCTGCATTTTCTTATGATTCCCATAGTATTACAGCAGCCCCAAAGAGCAGGAAGCAGTTTGGAAAGAACAATGCTCACATTCTCAAATATTGTCTATAAATGTTTGTTTTCATCTAAATGGGGTTGGTTATAAATCTCTTTTAAAGGTAAAAAGAGGATAATGGTATAGAAATGAATAGTTTGTTTTAGGATGGATTTTCATTTATTGATATAAAGTTAAGGTCAATTTTGTGATAAGTATATTTCTCCTCTTGTTTAGGTATTGTGTTTGCATAGCTCATTTAAAAATGTAATATATAATTAAGTACAGATTATATGTACTTACCTATGATAGTCAAATCTTATAGTTAGGTTGGTTAGGTTTTCTAGATAGAGAGATATATTTGAGATGGGTAAATATTTTTCAAACCTTTCAAAGACCTACAGAATATGGCATTTAAAATGGTTTAGGGTTTTTCTTAACAGTGAGGTACAACTGCTCCTGGCAACACCACCTGCATCAGAAAAGAAGACATCGAAGAAACTCATTATGGAGTTTGCTTCCAATATGGCAGGACTAACCATTTGGGCAAGATACTGCTCTTGTCTAGATTGTTTAACTATGTGCTTTATAAAGTAGACATGCAGGACCTACAGGAAAGTGACTGCTCAAACAAGATGGACAGTGCTACAGGGTTTCTGCTTCATGGAAGAGTCTGCCAGACATTCTGCAGGATGCAGAGAAAACTGACTGACAAACTGCCAATACAGGTGGACAGTTTAAAGTTTCCTGCTTTGCTGAGGAGTCTGCCAGATACACTTTGGCCTATGGGCCAAAGATGGATGCGCCAATTTACGGAAGAACTTTGGGTGACTCTCCAGGTAGTGAGATGTCTCTGTCATTTCTAGAGTTTATATATTATCCTTCTGTGGTCTTTGATGGAGTTGAAAACAGATAGTTATGGTTATAGTTTTCCTTAGGATTAAAGATAAGCTACATGTGAGACTTTAGACTCACAAAGGTAGGATAAATGATAGAATATTTTCTTTAAATCTTGCTAAATAATGGGCTAATGGGCTAAATATTGTTAAGTATAGTTCTTATTTGATAACTGTTTTGTTATAGTTTTACTATGTTAAAGTTAAAGCCCTTCTTTTTATTTAGACAGAAAAGAGATGATGGGAGATGTCATTCTGTATATATGTTTCTCTTATTGATTAATGGATAAAGCCCTGTTGGCCAATAGGAAAGCAAGATAGGAGGGACTAGGAGACAAGCAGGATTCTGGGAGATTTAAGATATAGAGACTAGAGGGAAGAGGTCCAGACCCTCTCTCCGATAAAATAAGACCACATAGAAACCCTTAGATTGATAGAAATTGGTTAATATTTAAGACAAAGCTAAACAATAAAAAAATACTAGTAACCAGCCAATGGTTTTATAATAAAAAAATAAAAATAAAATAGCGAAAGCCAAACCTGTCATAGAGACATGTTATCCCAGCTACTAGAGAGGTTGAGGCAGGAGGATGACAAGTTCAAGATCAAGTTGAAAGGAGGAGGGAAAGGGAGTGGGGGAATTTATAGCTCAATAAAAACAAGTTAAAAAAAAAAAAAAAAAGAACGCAAGGGTGTTCAGAGTCCATGGTAGAGTGCCTCTCCCAATGCTCAGGAGGCTGAGCTGAAATTCCGTTAAGATGAGTGGGAACCTGCCTTTCATTTTATTTTCAAGTCTCTACCTTTGAAATAGCTCTCATAGAAAACACTTGTGTCCTTCATCTAAGGAAGAATAGGCATCAGGTCCAGAGGTGGACATGGGAGGAAAATGAAGCGGGAGCTATGGGCAGCATACACTCAGCTACTACACAAAGCTACCAGGGTGTAAGAGTCCACTAGAACACTTTCAGCTCAATGATTCTTTAGGAAGATTCTTTGGCCTCAGCAGCAACAACTAAGAGTTATCACAACAAAAATGACACAAAACAAAGTCAGCGGGGAAGCTCCTGTGGACCGAGGGCAGAGGACACCTTGCAGCCACTCCTGAAGTACTCCCAGTAGGGAACCTTGGGGCATGGTATGTGAGCAGGGATGAACTAAAGGAAGCTAGCTCAGTGACCTCACTCCTCAGAGTTTTCACCGGAGAACTCTGTTTAACACATATGAAAACTCTAGACTGCAAGAAGTAAGTGAATACTGCACACACAGTTTAGACACAGTGAGCAGAGTCTTCCATGGGCAGCAGTCTGGCTCAGCTAGACCACACTAACCCTTCTGAAACCCAAGAAACCACACTCCATTGCAGCTTTTGCTTGGGTATTCTCTTTATATGACTTTAAAAATACTATGGTCCATTATTTTTTTTTAAAAAAAAAAATACGAAAAGAGAACTACCCACTTTCTTTTGCCACTAAGGATTTTTCTCTAAGGTCCCAAATCAGTTTCCCTTCTCCCCTTTCCTCAAGAGGGGAAGTCAGTTAACTAATTACTAAATTTGGAAAGAATAAATAGGCATACTTGCCTCAAGCACCCTCGGGGGTTGTCTCAGCTTCTGAGCACTACCGTTTTCCTTCAAGATAAGGCCCATTCAACCCAGTACCTTGTACATTCTGAGGGCCAATCTTATTCAGGCTAAGATTCCCCTGTCCCAGCAATAAAGGTAATTTTTACACATAAATAAATAAATAAATAACAAGTTCAAGCCCGTCCTGGCCAACTTAGCCAAACCCTGTCTGAAACTTTCTAGAATGCAGGGTGATAGTTCAGCAGTAAAACACTTATTTAGGATGACCAATCTCTAGTACACTTAATAATAGTGATTTCAAGAAAATACTAAGTAGGGCTGGAGAGATGGCTCAATGGTTAAGAGCACTGGCTGCTCTTCCAGAGGACCTTGGTCCAATTCTCAGCACCCACACAGCGGCTCACAACTGCATGTAACTCCAGTACCAGGGGATTCACCACCTTCACACAAACATACAAGTACACAAAATATGAATGCACATGAAATAAATTATATAAAAAGAAGATATTAAATAATGGCAAATATGGTAGAACAAATTGGCTGAAACCAGGAAGATGACAGTGGTATGGAGAAGACACAAACTTAAGTGAAAGTACTTCAGCCAGTTAGAAGCTTCTAAATAGGAAAGTGCTGCGTGGTGTGGCAGAGGCAAAGGAGACTGTAAGATGGTGGCCCACTGGAAGAAAGAAGAGGCTCTCACCTTTGTTCTCAAAGCAGCTTATCAATTCACCGACCCACTGGTCTTGGCTTCTCCCACACACACTTATGGACTTTAAGTGGAACCTGTAAGAGGATCAGTCTAGTCTCCCATGATCACTCCTTCCCCTCCCTACTTTTCCTCATTCCAAAGGTGTGAAGTCACCCTAGGTAAGACCTACTAGGGCAGGAAATCCCCAGATAAGTGAAACTGGTAAGGAGCTAGGCTACCCCACCCGGACTGGGTGTCCTGTAACTCCCAGTGGCCGGAGGGTGGGGAGCTAGAGGGTGGGGGATGGATGAACAGATGAGACAGTACCTGGTAAAGAATGGACAGCGGTCATACGCTGTCAGCTGTTTTCGGATATAAGTCAAGGTATCAGCAGGTACCGGGACACCAGAAGGAATCCTCTTATTACAGGAACAGCTTCCAGTGACACTGCCCTGGTTGCCATCACCTAAAGGGGAAAGAGGGATCAGCCTTGGTGTTCAGACTCCTTGGCTTCCAACTCAACTGTCTCACTCAGCCTACCCTACCCTCCTACCCAGTGTAATGCCACCTCGGCCCAGGGGTCCCCAGTCCTACCCCAGACACCCTTTCCCTTGTCCTGGCTCTGGACTGAGTTCTTAATCCCTCAGTTCTTGTGCCCCTCTACAGTTTCCATTCCGGCCCCAGTTCCGCCCGCCCCCTGACTAACCTGGCTGGGTCAGCACAGCCAGCAAGAAGAGAAAGAGCGCTAGGGACAGGGGTCCGAAGCTTCGCCTCATCTCCGGACTCTGCGGAGCTTGTGGTTGCCAGGCCACATCCAGCTGATCCGCTTGCTTTCGATTCTTCACCCCGACTGCCTGAGGTTCTGCGGAGGCACTGCGGTCGGTGCCAAGCTCAGAAGGGACGGGGCGCGAGGTGGCGGTGCAGTCCCTCCCCTCTGTCCCCTCGCGCGCACTGTCCCGAACCGACCGACCGCCTGGTCAGTACCGGGGAGCCTGCGCTGCGCCCAGCTCCCACGTCGGGGAACCCCCCCCCCCCGAAGGCGGAGCTCCTTCACCCGACTCCAGACTCACAGCCAGGCCTGGGGGCAGCCAAGACTGGCAAAACCGAAAGAAATCTCAGGCTGTGGAGCCAGAGGAATCCGAGAGGGCAAGCAGTAGCCCCAGAAGAATGACTCGGTTGGCTTGGGGATGTCAGCCCTCTCGGGGGGGTCGCCTGTCTGTCTGTTGGTTTGTAAAGTAGATGACCTGCTAGATCCTCCCTCCCGCTCCAAGATGCTTTCACTTCCCTGGTCCGCTGGGTTACTGTGGATCCAGTCACAAGGCCAAGGTAAAGCAGTCAAGCAAGTCACCAGGCCTGTGGGAGTGCGCACGCACTGGCCGGGTGCAGCCAGATGCCCTAAGCGTGCCACCCAAGTTATGAGCAGTGGGCTCGGGCAGCTCTGACGTCACGACGGTCCTCCAGCACGAGGTATTTACCTTCGAAAAGTGGTGGCGGCTGCAGGTACCGGAGGAGAGGAGCGGCCAGAAAGAGGGTGGGCTTATTGGGGCTCACACCAAACTGATCCTCACCCAAGAGATGCCTCAGTTCTTAACTCTGACTTCTATTCCCACAGACCAACAGACCCCAAAATTTTCCCTTCTCAGCAAACCTTTCCCCATAGGATTAGCCTTACCTCGTGTCTTCCCTTAATTCAAATCTCACTTTAGGATCAGAGTCATTGAGTTTTGTACCTCAACTATGATTTCATCACTCACTTTTAAATATCCACTTTCCAACCTAGCCTCCCTCCATCCTTATCCCTGCAAATCCTATTCTCAGCTCCTACGACTCCTCTATAGATTTTACCTCAAGCCCACCCCCTTCTCCCTTTTGTAACCCAGACCAAACCTGATCCTTACCTTACATCCCTTTCTGCTCAGTCTGGGTCCAGGCCCTGTGCATGTGAAGACATGGAGTTTGTGTCTGGATATCGGGACGAGTTCCTTGATTTCGCAGCTCTTCTCTTTGGCTGGTTCCGCAAGTTCGTGACAGAGAAGGGGACCATGGGAACCAACCTTGAGGGCCGATGGCGTCAACTGGAGGCTCAGATAAGGAGGCTGCCCCAAGACCCTGCCCTCTGGGTGCTTCACGTCTTACCAAACCGTAGCGTGGGCATCAGCCTGGGACAAGGTGCAGAGCCAGGTCCTGGGCCAGGCCTGGGGGCTTCCCGGCTCCTGGGAGATGAGCCTCCACTCCACCTTCGAGACCTGAGTCCATATGTCAGTTTTGTCAGCCTAGAGGATGGGGAAGAAGGGGAGGAGGAAGAAGATGAAGAAGAGAATGGAAAGGAGAGCTCAGGCACGGAGAAGGCAGAACCACAGGAGGGTGGGGAGCCAGCTCCTCCAAGCAGGGAATGCCCCCAAGAAGCAAAGCCACCAGCCGAGTCAGAGGTGAAGCAACAAGAGGCAAGCTGTGATGATGGCTGCCGAGAGGACAGAGGAGAGGATGAGAGGGCTCCTGAAAAGAGGAAAGGACGGAGGAGTGGTGAGAACCCAGGGCGGCCCTGCCCTGCCCTGTCCCCTGTCCAGACACCTTTCTGAATTCTCATGTCACTCAAACCCAATTAGGAGTCACAACTTGGTCACCTTCATGAAAATCTGTTGCCCAAAGTTTATCTGCCACGATGTGGTTTTGTTTCTTAGTTTGAATCGGCATCTAAGCACTGTAAAGAATGAAAGTCCAGAGGCCTTGCAGCTTAAGAAAAATTCAGGTTCTAGGGCTGGAGAAACTGCTCAAAGGTTAAGAGCATTGACTGCCCTTCCAGAGGTTCCAGGTTCAATCCCCAGCACCCACATGGTGGTTACCTACCTTCTGTAACTCCATTTCCAAGGGAACCCAACACCTTCCTCTGCCCTCTGCAGGGACTGCATGTGCGTGATGTGGAGATAATACCCATACACATAAAATAAAAATAAACCTAAAGCAAGAGAAGTCCAGGTTTTGATAAGGTGTCTGTGTTCCTTACATTCTGGCCCTGTGTAGCAGCTGCCCCCATTTAGATGGGGACCGCCTCTTTTATCTAGTCCCTTCTACTCACTGCAGTTGTCTGTCCCCTCAAGACATCGAAACTTGGTATATCTGACTATGACTATCTGCCCCTGTCTCTATCACCCCAAATTTCCCTCTTTCCCCAGAGGCTGCCCCCCTGCATCTCTCCTGCCTTTTGCTGGTGACAGATGAGCATGGCACCATCTTGGGCATTGATCTGCTAATGGATGGAACTCAGGGGAGTGTGGGCCAGAGCCCAGGGACTGAGAATCTGGCTCCTCGGGCCTATGCTCTCCTTTGCCATAGCATGGCCTGCCCCATGGGCTCTGGGGACCCCCGAAAGCCCCGACAGCTTACTGTGGGAGACGCCCACCTGCATCGGTACAACTATCTGCAATCAGAGAGTGGGAAGGTGTGGGATCTGAACTCCTGAGCCCTTTAGCCTGATGCCATCTTCATCTCCATGCAGAGACCTGGAGAGCCTTGTCCCAAGGTTAGGTGTGAAGTTAGCAAAGACACCAATGCGGACATGGGGTCCTCGGCCAGGCTTTACTTTTGCCTCTCTTCGGGCTCGAACTTGCCATGTTTGTCACAAGCACAGCTTTGAAGTGAAGTTGACACCCTGGTGAGCACCCCAAGGCTGGAGTCAAAAGAAGATTCTAACAGTTAGACAACCAAGTAGAAAAGCCAACCAGGCCAATGGAGGGGGTGCGGGGGTCCCAGCGGACATAGGGGGGGGCCCCAGGAGGTAGGAAGGGGTAGGGATGCAATACAAACAGGCTGAGTGGCATACCAACAGATTACAGCCCACAGGACCCATGAAGATTGATAGGTGCTGATTACCCCTGTGTACCCAGCCCCCAGTGCAGTGCCGTCTTATACTGTGGAGAGGCTTGTCTCCAGGCTGATTGGCGCCGATGCCCAGATGATGTGAGCCACAGATTTTGGTGCCCAAGACTTGCTGCTTTTATGGAGCGAGCAGGAGAACTGGCAAGTCTGCCTTTCACCTACACTGCAGGTACCATAAGAAGGTCAAAGTGGCAGGGAGGGAATCCTATGACCAGGTCTTTGGGACTGCATCCAGGGCTTGAAGAATGAGTGTTTGATTGATGTCTACATCCTTGGAGTAAGAGCTGGTGCTGTGTATTTGGTGTTAGGGATCAGAGACAGAGCAGCTGAGGCAGAATGGCTGGATCCCTGAGAGACACCAGGGCATTTGTGGGCATCAGTTCAAATGCTTACTGCCCATCTCTGCACTGTCTAGTGGCATGACCTCAAATGTTTCACTTAAGCCAGGCACGGTAACACATTCCCAGCACTTGGGAGGCTGAGGCAGGAGGATCTAATGTTCTAGGTCACCCTGTGCTATGTAACACCTTGTCTCAAAAACAAGACGAAACAAGAGCTGGGCCCAGTGAGGCATACCTGTAATCCCAGCATTTGGAAGGCAGGGGTTCAAAGCCATCCTCTGCTACATACTGACTTTAAAGGCAGCCTGTGCTGCAATGAGACCCTGTCTCAAAACAAACAAACAAACAAAAAAATTTCCTCTTCAAACCCAAGTTTCCTTGTCTGTAAAAGAGGAATACGAGCAAATGTGAAATCACGTTTAATTATTTCAAGGATTATGTAAGCTCTTAGTATCTGGAACATGGTACACACCCCAAAAAGAAAATTCCCTCCCTAGGTAGACCAGGCTCAAAGTCAGGGTCCTTAGGGATAGCAGAGGACAGCTAAAGTCCTGGGACCTAGCCACCAAGCCCTCAACCACACTCCTTCTCCTGCAGAGGTGACCAGTGAAACCTTTAATAAGGAGGCTTTCCTGGCCTCTCGGGGGCTCACTCGTGGCTATTGGACCCAGCTCAGCATGCTGATTCCAGGGCCTGGCGTTCCTAGGAGCCCTTGGGGCAGCACACCATCCCTCAGCCGTCTTCTCAATGGTACATGAGGCCTCTTGCCAGGAATGGACTCTTAAGCCTAGAGAGAAGGTTGAGGGGCTGGGGGAGTGGATCGGGTCCCATTTAACCATTCCGTATACATACCACCCCTGTTCTAACACCATTAGGACTATTTTAAGTCTATCCACAGACCTCAAAGGAGCCATTTCTGCCTGATCCATCTAATAACCTTGTCCCTAGGCTAATCCCAGTCCTGCTACATACAGCTTCAGGCCTCTCCCAGGGTGCACAGCTCTTCCAGGAGGAACAGGGAGCGGAGGCAGGTAGGGGTTTACAGGACCTAGGCACTGCTTCTCATCCACTCAGGTGATCCTTACCAGCTTCTGCAGGGAGATGGGCCTGCCTTGATGCCTCCGGTGCCCCTAGACCCACCCAGGAGCCTCTTTGGTGAGCTGGAGGGATCCTGGAAGAAATGGGAGGTTGGGACATAGATCCTGGAGGGGGTGGCAGATAGAAACCTGGTGCCTGAGAAGGGGGTGGGGGAATTAGAGATTGAGGCACAGGCCTGGGGTCAGCCCCCCCCATTAAGGCACTCTCTCCAGGTTCATGGCAGGATTACTACACGTGGCGGGGCCTTAGCCTGGACTCCCCCATGGCTGTGCTTCTTACCTACCCGCTGACCGTGTACTATGTCATCACCCACCTGGTACCCCAGTCCTGTAAGGAGTGCAGACAAGACAGAAGGGTGGGGGTGGGAGTTGGGGATTGACAGTAAGGGAGCCCGTATCTTTAATGAGTGAACATCTCACCAGTCCCTGAGCTCAACATCCAGAACAAGCAGTCGCTGAAGATCCACGTGGTGGAGGCCGGGAAGGAATTTGATCTTGTCATGGTGTTTTGGGTAGGCTCCCACTTGAAGAGTATGCATTGCCAAGATGGAAGTGGCCATAAGGTAGGGCCCCGAGCTGACCTTCTCTCTGTCTCTAAGGAGCTCTTGGTCCTTCTCCCCCACGTGGCCCTGGAGCTACAGTTTGTGGGTGACAGCCTACCACCTGAAAGTGACCAGCAGCATTTTACTATGCAGAGGGTGAGAGCTAGAGATGGCCTGCTTCTCCAGCCCTGCCTCTGGTAGCCCCGTGGGACCCTCCTCCCCTCCCCCAGTTTTTCCTGGTACTC